GCACACTCGCTTTTGTGCTTCCCCTAGAGGGAGGAGGAAGAGCGCCGCGAGGCGGAGCGGCGGGAGGCGCAGGACGAGCAGCGGCGCTGGGAGCGCCAGCGCATGGAGGCCGAGCGGCGGGAGGCGGCGGAGAGGGAGCGCCGGGTCCAGGCGAGGGAGCAGCAGATCGAGGCCTGGCGGTGAGCGGGGGGCGGGGGTGGGGCTGCAGCCGTGGCCTGTGCCACGGTGCCGAACGGGCCAGTGGGTCTTCTCCACGGGCAGGCAGCCACAGCAGCCCGGCCCTGGGGCCCGCTCCCGAGCCCGCGTGCTGCTGCGGCTCTCTGGGCACGCGTGGGGGGCCGGCTGGGGGCAACAGCAGCAGCCCTCTGGGCTCACCGGCCAGAGGAAGGCCGAGGGGCGGCTGCCACCCGTGCCCGGCCCCCTCTGCCCTGGGCAGGTGTTCCCCTCTGCAGCATTCAAGGCAGCTGCCCAGCCCCTCGAGGGAGCAGGGCGCCCCCTTTGGGAGGGTCCAAATCCCTCTCTGGGGCCTTTCTAGGAACTGATGAGAGCAGCTTCTGGCCGGGTGCCCGGCTGGCTTCTGCGGCACCTGAGAGGACGCCCCCCTTGGATTAGTGGCGCAGCATCTATGGTCACCGCTGCCCCGCGTCCCTGGGCGCCGGGAGGGGGTTGGAGCGCCACGGCAAGCGCCCTCTTGGTGGGTGGGAGGCCCCTGTGGCTCCCTGCCGTTCTGGGCGAAGGGCCCACGAGCAGGCAAGGCGGCCACTGCTCCCGGGCGGTCCCTGGCTGCCAGCCCCTCGGAGGCGTTCAGCTGCTCCCAGGCGGCAGGCGGTGTGCTGGCCCAAGAGCACGGGGCACACTTCCTCCGCAGAGGCCCCTCTGGCTCTCCGGGTGGCCTCAGCCCCCCCCCCGCCCCCAGTGCCCTTCCTGGCACGCCACGCAACAGGGCGCGAGCGCAGGGGGAGCACGGGGGAGCCGAGGGGCTCCCGCCCCCCATGCCAGCTGGGCTGCACGACTTGCGCTCTCCCAGTCCCCCTTCACACCCTTCCCTCCATGCCCATCCTCGGCCACCCCGAGCCCGGCTGCAGCTTGCCCCCGCCACCCCTGCCCCACGGTCAGTGCAGCGCCTCCCTGCTCTTCTTCGCAGGAAGCAGCAGGCCGCGCGGGAGTCTGAGGAGCGCCGGCACGAGGAGGCCCGCCGGGTGAGTGGGGCCGCGGCTCTGCCCCAGGATCACGGTCAACAGGGAGCCCTCGGGCCGGGCAGCGGGGGTGTGGGGGGGCACAGAGGAGGGGAGTTGCCCCGGGCCGGGGGTTGGTGGAGACTTCCCGGCCCCTCTCCTGTGGCACAGCCGGGGGATGCTGCGGCAGAGCGGCTGCGGTTGAGGGCCAGAGGTCCGATTCAGGCGCTCGGAGCTCAAGGGGCAGCCTGGCTGCCCCGGCCTTGGCCGCGTGGGCCAGAGCCCTCCCCAGTGGCCGGCGCGCTGGCCGGGAAGGCTGCCTGCAACAGGCTGCCTGTGGGCCAGCTCCGACCGGCCGCTGCCAGTGCAGGGCGGCTCTGGGGCCAAAGCCGGGCGAGCGCTGCTCCACACCCCGCAGCCCCTTGCTGGACTCCCGAGGCTTTGTCTGGGCGCTGAGGTCGAGTGGCTGGAAGTGCCGAGGGCTCCCGGCCCGGTGGGGGCTCCCACACCACCAGCGCAGCCTTGGGCCATGGGGGCAATTTCGTGCCAAGATGGTTTAGGGTCTCCAGAGAAAGGGAGCAGGCGGCTTCACCCGTAGCCCTGCTGGCTGTGGGCCGGACAGCGGCTGCCCCCTTGCACGCGACCAGCACGTCGGAAGGTCTCTGCTCTTCCCCCAGAAGGAGGCGGGAGAGCTGCTTGCCCCGCGGGACGACCCCCAGCAGAGGGAGCGGTCGGGGTCCGCCGGGGGTGCCTCAGAGCCTCCATCTCCCGTGCAGGGGTGGCCAGGTGAGCGGACCTCTGTGGGCCAGGGCAGCCGCGGTTCTGCTGCCTGCCCCCCATCCAGGTTAATGGGGCTGGGAAGTATTCTGGCTGGTCCCCCAGAAGCCGGGGGGGGGGGCATGGCCTCTGTGCCCCAGCAGCCGAGGGAGCCTCCCTTGAGCCTCAGCTCCCCTTTGCGGAAGGGGCATCTCACGGGGGAGACAGCAGTGCCGACAGGCCCTCCCCTCACAGCGAGCTCAGCGGGGCAGTGCCGTTTCTGCAAGACGAAGCTCTTTCCACCCGTGTGCCAAGGTGAGATGCCCCCCACCCCCAGCAGGCCATGCAGGTCCGGACTGCAATGGCTGGCCAGGTGTACTGCCAGGTTTCCCACTCCCAGGAAGTGTGTTTCTCCTTGAATGCCCCCAGTGTGGGGGAGCCCCCCACCTCCCCAGGCAGCTGGTTCCCCTGTCGTCTTGCTCCGGCAGTGAGGAAGCTTCTCCTGATGTCCAGCCTGAATCTGGGTTGTCACAACCCAACTGATTCTTCCGTGTCTTGCACTCCGGCATCAGCCAGAAGAGACCTGGACCTTCCTCTCTGTGGCGGCCTCTGAGGTGTTTATAGAGGGATGCCATGTCCCCGCAAGTCAAAGCTGAACATGCCCAGTCCTCTCAGCCTCTCCTCACAGGGCAGTGTCTCCACACCATGGAGCTTTTTGCTTGTCCGCTGGACCCTTTCTAATGTCCCTGCATCTTTCCTGAATCTTGGTGCCCAGAACTGGACAGAGCATTCCAGATGGGGTGGGTCTGCCGAGCGAGGAGGGAGGGTCCGCCACGCCTCGTGATGTGGAAGTCAGGCTCCTGCTGATGCCTCCTGGGGCAGCGCATGCCTTCGGTGGCTGCTCTGCTCTGCGCTGCGCCGCCAGCCCGTGGTTGCGACTTCTCCGCGTCTCTTGCTCTTCCCTCCCCACCCTGACCAGGCGCTCCACGGCGACCGTTCCTCCACCACCAGCGCAGCCTCACAGAATCGGCCTACATCTTCCGCCATCAGCATCCAGCCCCGGCCTCGCTGGGGGGGTTCCTGCCCGCGGCCTCCCCCTGCCCTCCTCAGCCCCCAGCCCCACCTGCCACAGACCCGGGGCCTGGGGCTCCAGCCTCGCCTCCCACTCCAGAGCCAGTCAGGTGCCCCCCCAGTGCCTCCCCCCCATCCGGAACTGGGGCCCCACTGCCTGCCCCTCCACTGGAGAAGGGGGCCCCTCCCGGGGCCAGGGAGCACCCCACCGGCCTCCAGGAGCCATCGCCCAGCACTCCAGGGCCTGTCTGTTCACCAGAGCGGCAGACTGCCCAGGGCCCCCCC